AAAATTCCCTTCATAAAGTCTGCAGAAACCCTGAAAAAGCTGCTTTCGTTTTCATCACAAGGGCTGGTAGTGAGCTGTAAGTAAAAGGGATGCACACAGATGCAGTGCACCGCTAACTACTGCTATTGGGCCATTCCACCGAATGGGTGCCATTTTTTATTATTAACCAAAGTGTCCTGCACATGAATCTAACTGCAAATTTAAAATATATAATTTTAAAAATCTTTAACTACCTAAAATCCTGAAAATATAGCATTTGTACATGTCCCCAGTGTCTAATGCTACATTTTAACAGGAAATATGTTTAAAATCCTTCATAAATCACTTTTATTTTGCATTTTTGTGTACCTCCATATCCCATCTGTGCTTTAAATACATTTATTTCAGAATAAATGTATAGTATTTTGGATAAAATGCACATTTTAGTCGTGTGTCCCCAGGTTTTCACTCAGTCCGGCTACCCTAACATATTCCCCCCCTCTTAAAAACTAGGAAAATTCCACAAGACATAATATTGCAACATCGGGATCTTCTGAAGGCAATGAAATGATTGAAAGCATGTGGTCTTATTTTCTTTTCTGTATATTTGATGATATTGTAACGTGGCAGGGAGCGTCTTTATAAATATGTTGTTACTTGTTTATTTTAAGAGTACAAATCTTTGGTGAATCACTATAATTTGTGGAGTGTTCTCATAATATTGGCATGTACTCCATGTGGCTATATTATATGTATTTGCTAATTTTATCTTAATCTCAATCCTGTTACTTTCAGTCCTGTTACCCATATACTTATTTATGCTATACTTACTTATAGTAACTGAGTAAAAGTAACAGGAGTGAGTAGTGTCATCGGATTTATTAATGAAAATATTAGACTACATCCATATTAATCTAGATACATTTGGAAATGCATCTTTTTCTATTTTTTTACAATTATGTATTGGACTCATACATGGAATGGTGTTTGTGAGCTGCGCTATAAGAAGACAATATCCACAGAAAAACTGAAAAGATATTTAAGTTTATTATTTTTAATATAAATTTTAATCTAATATTTATTATTTTTTCATTATTTACATCTCTGTAAATAACGAAACATAACCCTCTGTACCCCTAAACATAACCCTAACAAAAACCTCTGCAGATGACTAGATGATTTGGCTTTTTTAGCCGTGAGGTCAGCTCACTAGTCAACGTTCAACACTTTTCCTATATCAGTGCGGGGATTCATAACTCAAACCTGTATTGTTACAGGGCTGACGAGACGTGAGACGTGCGGATCCATCTGCAAGGCTTTATTGTGGAGAAGACAGAGATGTGGTCATGAAGCAGGCAGGGTCAAACAGAGGCAGACAGGTATATGGTGGGCAAGACACAAGAACAGTCCTAGGGCTAGCGTGGGTCGACGATGGGCAGACAGAGTCAGAAGGGGCAAGACTAAGGGAGAAATCCAGGAAACCAGGCGAAGATCAGAAACCGGGAAAACAGCTAGGCTAGGGCTAAGGCTAAGGATCTCTTTTTGACCATGAAACCAACCATTTCTTTAAAATAAACACCTGCCTGAGGGGGAAACGAAGGAATTTGTTGACATATTTTTAAACATGCTTTTTAAAAGACATTAGAGTTTTGGTAACAAGACTGAGAATAATGCATCCATCTTCCACTTAGAAATTGTGTAAGAAATTAAATAAAGTTACCTGAGATGGACAAATACAGATTTTGAATAGTTAAATATATGTATTACTAGAGTCAGTCTTTAAAAAAGACCGAAAATGTTTAGTTTTGGATTGCACTTTATGCATCACAACACCCTGTAGGCTGTGTCCAGACACACACCTAACTATTTACATATTAACTAACTTAAACAATAGAAATATGAGAACATGAACTGATTTGAAAGTCTTAACCTGTTAAATTGTG